TGCTGGGTTTGCAGTGGGACTGCGTGGCCTGGGTAGTTGCAGCGCTGCCGCCTGCCCTCCGCCCCCCTGCACTGTGCAGTGAGGGCCCCTCAGCAGGTCAGCTCCATAGGCAGGGCCAGGGCTAGCAGGGAGTTGTGTTCCCAGCCCTTAGCTTGTCTAAGAGCCCGTTTCCRCTAAACTTAAATGCTGGAGCAAAGCAAAATCTATAATGTCCCTTTCAAGCAAATTTATGCATGCACCTCTCCACTTGTGGAATTTCCTGGCTCCCGAGCACTTGGTTTCCAACATGCATTAAGCCAGGAGGTGACACAGAGTATTAATGGTCACTGTGCAGCGAACCCATCGGGGCTCAGCGCCCGGCTGCTSCCCATGCGCAGTGGCCACCAGAGCCTCACACCGAGCACTGCCGTTGGCGCTTTGCTCCGTGGGACCTTCGGAAGCTCTTTCCTCTCTTGAAACATGTCTCCGTCCTCRCTCCAAAGATCAGCCCAGGTGTGCTGGGAGCCGTAGGGACGTGTTGTGTAGGAGGGACATACTCCCTGCAGGTGGCTCAGGCTCGTGCTGGTGAGCGTGCAGTTACATCTCATTTTTTATTAAGCCACCGCTGCAACGACAGCAGAGCTCTGAGCCCCAGTACTTGCCGTGGCAGCAGTGAGGAGATCATTCATTCCATCCRTTCCCCCAGGGATTCCCCATTGCCACGGGAAGCTGGAAAACCGGCCCGCGGGAGGCTTGGAAGCCGCTTCCCACCCARTGCAGAGGGGGACGGGATGAGCTTCCCCATGTGGCTTCCCTGTGGAGCGCGCCCCACACGGCCCCTGCTTGGCACGTGAATGCAGCACTAARTGTGCAGTGTACATGCATGTCAATGTGTATGTGGGAGCTCGTGTCCTGCAGCCCTTCCCCTGGAGAACACACCGAATCCAATTCCATGAGTTCCCCTTGGATTGGGAACCGCTTACTTTGGGTCTGGCTGAAGTTTTGAGTAAATGAGCTGTGAGAGTTAGATCTGAAATCCTAAGTGCATGTTTAGTGTCTGAAAAACGAAACTTTTTGTGTGCAATAAGAACAAACCCCACCATTTCTAGACTGCAGGAAAACAGGTCTCATGGTGGAGCGGTGCTGAGAGGCTGGCGTGCAGGTTAGGGCTGTGCTGCTGAGAGCTGCCGGGCCACAGCACGC